GTAAACCGGCTGAGTGTATTGCGTTTCGGATGGTTGTCCAGTGTTGATCTACGCTACTTGTTGGGGTAGTAGTTGGCCTTCCGGTCAACTCGTTTTGATAATCGGTTAGTACGGCTGGGTCAGAGAGCTTGACGAGGTCGAGCTGTTTGCATCGCATCTTTTTGCGGCCACCAAAACGCATAGACAACTTGGCCCAAATCAGTGCGTGGTCGGAGTCCAAGGAGGTAGACCAATACGAACGGCAGTCTATCGCACATCCTCTCCAACTGCAGCTAATAGCTATATGGTCAGTCTGACTCCGTGTCTGTGCCGAAGAGGGGTTACGCCAGGTCGCGGGGTGACGCTTAGTGTCTGAAGTTCGTGCTAACGAGGAACAGACCGTGTTCTGAGAAGTCTAAGAAGTCTATCCCCATTATCTGAACGACAGCTATCAAGGTCATGACGGCCACCAACGTGGGTCTCATCGGGTGACAGACGACTAACGCGTGCATTTAGGTCTCCGGCCAGGGTCACGATATCCGTCTTAGGTGCTTGACTGTATCCGGGCTACAGTCTGTAGGAGCGTATGCAGAAACCACGAATAAGCATCGTTCATTTCGTTTCTGCTTTTTGATCTTACTTGAGCCTCTGAGTGTCACTGCGCATAGTCGGCTATCTATCGGGATCCAGTCCAATAGACCAGCCTCGGCCCTGGGGCTTAAGGCAATACCAACGCCTGCTTGACCAGACGCTGAAGCGATAGGGTCCCTGGAGACGCGCATTTGAAACGCTTCTTTAGGATTGGAAGGAGACGTTAATCGGATCACTGAGCTCGGATCCTGGATGCGTGTTTCTTAGGGGCAACGCACACCAATCTCTAGACTTTCGAGCGTACGAGCCAAACCTGCTTGTTGTCCTATACGCATTCAGGTTCTTACGTTGAATGAAGCCAGTTTGAACGCATAATGAGGTCGGAGGAATGGAACGGTCGTTCCCGAAACAGATGTCAAGGAGGATAGCTGCGAGCTACAACATCGAACCTACCTTAGTGGAACCGTTCGGGGTGGGACAAACAGTGGAAGAAGAAGGGACATTGTGTAGGGGGTGGGTGGAAGTGTTGCGGGCAGATTTTAATTGAGCTTTGCATGGGTGTAAGATTCTGAGACATGTGTGAATGCGTAAGCTCATAAGTCCATGGTTAGTTTGTGGGCGTGGCACTACCCGGTTGCCCAGGCCGAGGTAAAGGGTTTTCTTGGGGGACCCTACCCGGAGCCTTCGGTTAAAGAATCTGACCCGAAAGGTAGTGGGATGGAGTAGGGAGTCCACGATCCTCTGGAAGCCGGTTAATACGCCTTTCGGATGCGGCCAACTATCCAGGGTACCCAGGTTGCCCTTGAGCATCACGGTGGTNTGGAATCAGGGTTTAGCCAACTCCCCTAGACTGACTACCAGTGGTCAGTCAACCCGGTGGAAAGTGCCGGGCGTTCGCCTTTGCCCTCCCACTTTAGTGTTAACACCTCCGCCACGAGAAGGCAGTGGGTAGGACTTCCTTAGTAGAAGCTATTTGAGGCACTTGGTCCTTTGGGAGCATTTCTAGAGGAGTTCGGGACGAATGGCCATTTCGGGGCCCGAGACACTCACTCCCGACCACACTGGGGTATTTGGAGGCGCCACAACAACAACTAGGTTGGTAGTGCACTCGATAGATGTGTCTCGGTGTTGCTGGTGCTAGAAAATGGCACCAATTCGATTGTGGACCTTTCAGGAATCATCGAAATCTACTTACCTCTTCTGGTGGAGTTAACAGTTCAGTTCAGTTTGCACTAGACAGGAGATGGCCACGACCAGTCGAGCGTCCAGACTTCCTTCGGTGGTAACTCCACGTGGTGACCTCTACCACCGCGAGTGTTCTATATTGGAAGTTCTTCTCGGGTTCTGCTCGTCCCGGTCATCTCCGCCACTGCAACGGAAGAGAAACAACCCCCCCCCCCCTTGTTCAGGCGAGAGACCTCACTTTCGGAAGCGTTCCCGGGTAGCATTGTTAGTTAATGGAAGAGACTGAAGACTGAATGCAAGATGTTGCTTGGAGACATTAAAGGATATGGCAGCGAACCGACAGCAGTGGCGTTCTTGTCATTTCTTATCAGGTCATAATGCTTGAAATGGTGTGTATGCAGAGTTCCTTGAGTGTATTAGGAGTTTGACAAAGATCAGTGAAGTTCTCTACACGGTATTACGCTTTACGATAATGATGATGCTGATTCTCACAGAAGAAAGTTGTCCAAAGCAAGCGTCAATTGAGGAATTTAATTTGTTATAAAAGGACAAAAGCGTGGATTTTCTGTTGTTCCTCGTTATCCCCTCTTTAGTATCCTCATTTGTGGCAATCTAACCCTTTGATACATACGTATTTTCTTTATAATTCTGGATGCTTTTGTATGCGACGTCGATTGTGTGAAATCAGACTGAAAGAAGTTTCTCTGTTTATACTGATTTTGAATGCACATATCCCTTATAGCTCCTTAGAATATGGAATATCCTAAGAAGTGGTCGTACTTTACCGAATACTTTGATGACGTTCTCGGACCCCCAGCGAGTTACATTTGTCGTTCTCTGTTTAGGTGAGTTAACTTCCATTCCACCTCAAAACATTCTTCATTTTAACGGTTCTTCTGTTTCAGTCCTGTGCCGATGAATTTACAGCCTTACTTAGGCAACGGATTTCTTGCCACACAGCCGTTTTCACGTTGGCTGTTTTTGGACGGCTTGTTCAATGGCCAAACAACAGAAAGTCATCGTGCTTGTGTTCCTTCTCCATTATCTTGGTCAGTCGCATTCCATGTGAACGTAGACGGAAAAACGGAAGTCGCGCCTTGTGTGTCCGAAGTGCATTGGATGCATTTTGGTATGGGTACGTTACTGACAAATATATTTCTAGTCCATGTTTTAGGTGCAATGTTCAGTGTTATCACTGGTAACTGCCTTTGGTTTCTCAAACTCGTGAAACAAAGCATAGAACACACGTGGATAAAAATGCCTTACAATAGCTTGGTAGTAAAATTTCGCAGTTTAAGGAGACTGAATTTAATGTTTACGGTATGTACGTTAGATTCAATCACATGTTCCGTATTGTATCTGATGACAATGCAGGCTGTGCCAAACAAAAATACGGTACAAAAATATTTCACTTTTACACTGCTTTCAACCGACTAATCTTCCCTCCACTCCTTCATCAAAATAAGCGGTAAAAAAACAGCATCCAAGCCCAATGCACGAAAGTTCATGGTTAGTGATTGCATAAAATGAACTGATGACAGAGAAATCGATCCATGATTTGTTTGGGGACGGAACACCGCCAGGTTGTTTTCTTGGGGCACTCATAACCGGAGCCTTCAGTTGGCCAAAGCCTGACCTGCAAGGCAGAGGAGCCCTGTGAAACTCACTCCATGTGGAACTAGCGCCAAATCGATGACCATTGTTTCTATTAGAAGTGTGATACATCTTACTTTCAGTTCACATAATTGTGGAGAGCGTGTCTCGTGGTTTTTAAAGCGCTTTTAAACTTCTCTTCCAAGTGAACAATCCGCATGCTATTTAGCTTACTCTCGGAATCTGCTTAGATTGTTGTCATGCAGCTTGTTGAGATATCCAGGCTCATTACCCGAGTCGTTCACGGTTTCTGTTCCAAACTTTATCTATATTTGTGAATCAATCAGTCTGTTTTTCTGAAGTTCACTGATATTAGAAAGCAATCGGCTTTGATTTTTATTAGCATGTTTTTTATACCAGAACGATTGATAAGCTGCCAGATGGTCANTATGCTTGCGTTCGACTTGTGTGGTCCCGGCTTCGATCCTCCGTTTGATCAAAAGATTCGTACTGCCGGTGAGACTGAACAAGGTCGAAACAGCTACACAGTGCTCGCTAACGTTCCAGTTCACGCTTCCTTTTTACACGACGAAGTTCACCATATTTGAGTTGGTGCCTAAGTCGGTAAAATGTGTTGGAGGAGTAATTGATCCAAGTAAATGGGCCTCCAAAGCGCCTTAACCACTGCCTTACGGTTAGGTTCTTATCAGAACCAAAGGCTTCGGTTGAGAACCCTAATCGTTCTCCTGCTTAGTGGCTGCACACCCTGG